CCCCTCGACGCGACGATTAGGGGTGCATCGTTTGCTCTCATTGTCAGCTCGAGGAAATAACGGTAACGTGTGTCTACCTGTTATTAGATGAAACGAAGGAAAATTCTGGGGGAGAAGTAGGAAATTAGAGAGCAAGAAAATGTCACGATCGAAACGTAACTTACTTTCTGGCGGGTTCTGTAAACGTATACTCATTTACTTTTATATAATGGTATAAGTAGTATTTATGATACTAATATACAGTGTAATAGTTTATAATTCGTTAACAAAGAAATATAATTTATTTTATGATAGGTTCTATAAACGTGTACTCTCTTACTCTTATATGATAATATAAGTGGTATGACTTATTTTATAATATATTATAATTTATAGTGTTTTATAATTTATTATATATATATATATATATGAAGAAATATAATTTATTTCATAACAAGTTCTATAGACGTATCGTAATATACTCTTATCCTTATTAAATAATGTGAATAATATAATATAATAATATCTTATTAAATAATATAATAATATAAACAGTATGACTTTATAATATATTTATAATATTTTGTAATTTATTAACAAAGAAATGTAACTTATTTCATGACAGGTTCTATAAACGTGTATATACTCTCTTACTTTTATATAATAATATAAGTAATATGACTTATTTTATAATATATTATAATTTATAGTGTTTTATAATTATTAATGAAAAAATATAATTTATTTTATAGCAGATTCTATAGACGTATCGTAATATACTCTTATTCTTATATAATAATGTAAACAGCATGACTTTATAATATATTTATAATATTTTATAATTTATTACTGAAGAAATATAATTTATTTTATGACAGTTTCTATAAATATATATTCTTATTTTTAAATAATAATACAAGTAATACAACTTGTTTTACGAGCTACAGGTTACAGGTTGTATAAACATGTACTTTTTATTCTTATAATATAAGTAGTGTGATTTATTTTATAGTATACATATAACTTATTTATATTTTATAATTTATTAATGAAGAAATGTAATTTATTTTATGACAGGTTCTATAAACGTACACTCTCTTGCTCTTCCACCTAAATCTTTTCATTCGTACCACGTTTAGCGTGCCAACGTTTCATACGTAAAACGGTTATGTTCTTTGCGAGTAATTTTAATTGTCGCTTTATCGTTGCGAGTTTTACGGGAAATTATCGGAAAAGTATACATAAGTTTGTCCGAAAGTCATTAGCAAACTGGTTTCCTTCGACGTGTAATATATTTCACGGTGGATAAAAATTAGCTTTCTAATTATACGTTTTGACTGTGGAGAGCGTGTTCTTTCCCCCGTAGAAACTAATCTACATGTTTCCAAGGATTCTGTCGACTATTTCATTTTGTCTTATTAATTCCGCCTATTCTTGTTATTTCCTGCCGCAACAGTCGAACTCGATGCCAAGCTGGTAAATACCTCGCGCTAAAATGATAAAAATCAATATTAATCATTTTAATTCACTCGATTGATGTGAAAATTAAGCTTAACTTAACATTGATATTAACCTCTTGTGCTGGAATAACGTGCCACGCAAAATTGTAATATTTTTTCGCAAAATTATAACATTTTACAATTATATTATTTTTATATTATTATTTTATAACTGTATATATTATTTTATTATTTTCATTTATTCTTTTATTATTATTTTTATTATTTTATTATTTTATAATTGTATTATTTTTATTTCATTTTTATCATTTTTTCCAACATTGTAACATTTCCTCAGCTCTGAGTGTATTTAAGTGAAACAAAATAGGCAAAACAGATAATAAAATTTATTGCTTCTCAATAATTTCTGTCCAATGATATCATGTACCGATGAGTTCAGAACGAATTGTTGTATAATTGTTGTGTTGGTCACTCGTTACGGTCCGCCAATCAGTTGCCAACGCAAGTGGTTAGTATCAAGTTTTCTACTCGCTGAGACAATCGAAATTGTCTAAACAACCCGTAAAGCTTGTTGTCGTCGTCTCGTCAGGATTAACATTGTAGCTCGATTAACATTGTGTCTTCGACGTCGAGAGGCATACGTAATGTATGAATATGCTAAACATACATGGGTTTACATAATTCATCAACCCATCTTGATCGCAAATCAAACGAAGGATTCGATTAAAATTGATCAATGCGTACTTAACAACGCGCGTGTAGTACAATTAAGCAAAACGCAAACGATTTGCACGCCTCGTGGCGCCAGTGTCGTCGTAGCTACGAGGAAATCGACGAGGATGGACAAAAGTATTCGATGAAAAATTAACGATATTGCGAACTTTGTAAGAGGAAATCCCACGATACTTTGTAAAAGAAGATCGGCCACATTTTAAAGCGTGAAATTCTACCTACCAAGTCTTTATCAATCTTGAATTTTCTTTTTTTCAAAAGATATGACAGATGTGTGTAACAGATGAAAGAAACAGAGAGCTTCTGTTGTCAGAAACTGTGGAAATTCAAACTGAGAAAATTTTTCTTACGACCAACTCTACCACGATCATGCAGACTATATATTTTTATGCATTTCTGAGAGATTTAACGATGCAAAATTGCACAGACTGCATACAACGTACGAGAGAGTGTATAAAGTATCGAAAATGTAGTCCTTTTTGATAATATTTGATGACGAAGAACAATTTTCTATCCAGCTACCAGTTCTTTCAATCACAAACATTGATTTCGCATAAAAATGGAACATGCAACACTCGTAATTTGCAGATGTGCTCGTTCAAATGAAACTTTATTTCATTCGAATCGTTGTGCGTGAGATAACGACGGGCAATAACAATTGCCGTACACAGTGAGGATTGTATCAGCGAAACTGATTAGGTAAAACAGTAATTGAGCAACGGCAGGCACAAGCTGAAGAAAAGGTCAGAATCATTAGAAACAACAATTACTCGCTGTCTTTTACTCGGGATGGTTTAATTACTAGATTGAATTAGCCTTCGCTAGAGACCAAAGTGTGCCTTTCATTGAGCAATATTTATTCCGTGCTCAGCCACGTTTGACAAACGTGTCCACTCGTACACGGTTTTCCATCGTCTTCAATTGCGTCTTCATTGTTGTCTGATGCGATTTGTTCGTAACATACCGCGCGAATCCATTAACGTGATAAAATTGACTTTGTTAATCCAGAGGCAAGATCGTGGCAAATTTTCCTTGCTGCGTTGTTAAATGATCGATTAAGGCACGCAAAAGAGGTGAGCTGCTACGCCACTGAGTCGGTGTTATTATTTAATTGTTATAATAATAATATTTATAATTTTATCATTATAATTTATTATTATTATAATTTTGGAAACGAATAGAGGTAAAAATCGTCGTAAATTGATTCGCGCGAGAAGTGTGTGCAAATGAAACAGGATATCCTGTCTGAATTAACAAAAAGGCGTGAAAGTTAAATTTTTTTTTTTTTTTAGTGACTTATCGAACGCAAAGTTTGTGACAAATGGAAAGCATGAATTGAAATAATTAAATTTGTTTATAATCTAATGACAGGATCGTGGATTTCTAGCGATCTATGAGCTTCTTGCGCCAGGAAGCATCGTCTTTTCCACGAAAGGAGAATAATAAGAAATCGAAGGATAATTTGCAATGCTAATTTCGAATATTTCCACTGCGAAAATACACGTTGAAAATTTACTTACGCTTGATTATATAGGTACAATTCGTTGGGGAATTATTTTCGTTCTTGGAATGTTTGGCAGCTAACTTTTTCCTTAAATCCCCCATCTCGATCGTTATCAGCTTGACGTTACGTAATGATGTTTGTTAACATGACATCGTCGAAAATTACCGACAATTACGAGCTGTAATTTTTCCGTAATTCTCCTTAATTGAAACTACATACATTACACGTATATTCCATTAGTTTGTCAATGAACTTCCAGCGAGATGAATAAACACGCTAGGCACATTGTGATTAAAAGATAACGATCTGAGCTTGTCAATGATAGGAGAGTCCCAGTGGTACCACTAACTTTTGTAAAAGAGACAGTTTGACTGATTATGAGTAAAAAATTTGAAAGATACTTTACGGTAAAACTAATTCAAGTGGAACGTTCTTCTTTTTAATTTTCCTGCATATTTCACTCGGTTCTATAGTCTTAATATTAAATATTACTTATATAATATTAAATAATTAATTTATAATAATATTTAATTCTATAATAATAATACTAATAATATTAATAATAATAATAATAATAATAATAATAATAATAATAATAATAATAATATTAAATAATTAATTTATAAGAATATTTACTATCTAATACTATAACAATAATAATACTAATGATATTACTATAATAACAATAATATTAAATAATTAATTTATAACAATATTTACTAATTAATACTATAATAATAATAATAATAATAATACTAATAATATTACTATAATAATAATAATATAAAATAATTAATTTATAATAATATTTACAATATTTATAAATATAATTCTTTAATAATATTTACAATATTTATAAATATTATTCTTTAATAAATATTTACAATATTTATTAATATTATTCTTTAATAATATTTACAATATTTATTAATATTATTCTTGAATAATATTTACAATAATTATAAATATTATTCTTTAACTTACAATATTTATAAATACTATTCTTTATTTACAATATTTATAAATATTATTCTTTAATAATTATCACTACTGTTTAATATTATTCTATAGTTTTTAATATCAACACGGAGACGGAGCCGAACTCTTTAGGGTTATATAAACTTATAGCCTTTTTTTTACTTGTATTCTTTTATATTGAAAAAAATCTTAGTGTATTTCTCAGACTCGATAAAGTGTCCCCCTCGAAACGTATTAAACAGAGAGGATTCAGAGATAAATAATACATTATTTTCACGCATAGTCTCGCGCAAGCTACGACTATTTCGACGATCGAGACGATCGAAAGCTGATTTTTCTTTGCGCAGCGGAAGTGAATGGCAAGCAAGTGTTGAACGGGAAGGAGGACGTTGGTGAGAATGCCGACGAGGAGATGGACGCGGTGCAGGAGGCAATCGGAAATCTCGGCAGATGGCAGATATACGTTTGCCTGGCGATCTCTCTGGTCAAGTTCCCGATCGCCTGGCATCAGCTCGCGATCGTGTTCATGGCGCCCCATCAAGACTACAACTGCACCTCGCCGACAGGCGTGCAAACGCCCGATCATTGCTCGGCCAATGTCAGCGGGGCATTGGCGGATTGCACAGAGTGGGAGTACGACAGGAGCACGTTCACGGAGACGATAATATCGCAGGTAATCCTCGAGAATTTTTGCCACTTGATTTAACATTCTTTCCCCTTTAAAGAGAGAGAGAGAGAGAATGTCGAGCCGAAGACAAGGGGATGAGACTGTGACCGTTCCTTTAAAGTTAGACAGATCGTTGTTTCAATTACGATTCTTTCTTACGTACTTTCTTAATAAATCTTCTTGCTTGAATAAACTTGCTACGTTTCTCGAATTGGAGAGCGATTAAAATGCCGAGACCGCATAGGATGGGACTGGCACGAGTTGAATGAGATAAGAAACGAAAGAAACGATTTGTGTAAATGCGTAATGCGATTGACGAGGTTCGTTTCGTGGTCGGGTAAGTGGAAACAATAAAGCACGGTTGGTATGCTTTCAATTAGTGGTGTAGATTAGTATGCGTTGTTCAGTGTGCCACGATGTTCTACGATATTGTGTTCTAACGTAACGGATAACGTTAACGGTGTATATAAATAGTTGGACACGTAAACGAGAAAGAGCAAAGGGAATTTCATTCTCTTCAGAAGTGGCTGTAGAAAAGAAAATGAGCACGTTCGTTTTTTTAAAAAATGACTTGACATTTTGTATTTGATACACTGGAACCGTCTGGTAGAAACGTAGTTGCATGGAAACACAAAATGAATTAGAATGATTAGAACTTTTCATCGCGATTTCCCGACACGATGTATAGTCGTACGTGTACATGGCGATTTTGATTAATTGTTTCTTCGGTTTTCCAATTTTCGTAGAAATTAAGGATTATTTCCTTATGATTGCGTTATTTCAGTGGAACTTAGTATGCAGCCGAACGCATTACGCCAATATCCAGCAGTCTATTTTGATGTTCGGCGTACTTTTGGGCAATATTATATTTGGCAATCTGGCAGATAGGTACAGACCAATACCGATTCTTTTCTCATCAAGTAAAACTTTCATCATTCCATAATTGTGCACGTTGCCTCGAGCCTGAATTTTATTAATCTTTCTAATTTGTATACCAGGTACGGTAGAAAGATGCCGCTGATGGTGTCGGTAATTCTTCAAGTAGCATCCGGTGTCGGATGCGCCGTCGTGCCGTGGTTTCCGGCACTGTTGTTGATGAAATTCCTCAGTGCCTTAGCTACAGGGGGTACGATGGTTACCAGTTACGTCATTTGTAAGTAATAATTTGATACTAATAAATATATTATAACGTATACTTATATACAACATAATATAAAAGGATATTTATATACAAGTTCATTAAATTTATTATATATAAAATTATATATAAATCATATACAATTATCATATTCTTTTTTTTAAATTTATTATATATAAGTTGATTAAAGTTGATTATATATTTAAATACATATATAATACATATATATATATATAAGTTTTTATATATAAATTTATATTTATATATTATTTATATTTATATATATTATATATTACTTATATTTATATATAAGTTGATTATATTCTTCATTGCAATTTAAAAATGTTAAGCAAGATAATCAACGACTCTCATGACATAAAATAATAAATTGTTGATAAATATATATATATAATAATATAAAATATTAGCATTTTAATATTTAATAAAATATTATTATAAATAAATTATAAATAACTATTAATTATATAATAATATATCATTTAATAATATTTAATGTATTTAATATTTAATAATATTTAATTTTATAAAATATTACATCTAATGTATAAGTTGATTAAACTCTTCAAAAAGCTTTGTCTAACAATGAGATTGAAGTAAAAAATTGTCGACAGGTATGGAGATCGTTGGAACGGAGTGGCGAGCGGCCATCACGGTACTCTATCAAATTCCGTTTAGCTTGGGCCACATGTCACTAGCCGGGCTTGCGTTTCTATTTCGTCACTGGCGGCACCTTCAAATTGCCATCACGCTGCCCTCCGTCATTCTTCTCAGTTATTGGTGGATCGTACCTGAATCACCAAGGTGGTTGCTCGCTTTTGGAAAACAACGAGCGGCGTGCAAGATCCTGCAAAAGGGCGCCAACATCAATCAAATCAAAAACAAAGATATCCCAGAGATGGTCAGGCAACACTGTTTGCATCAGGTGAGAGAGTAACAGAATCGTAGATTTGATTCTCGAGCAAATTCTCGATCTCTTCATCCTTGTTACGTTCTTGTAGAATTCCAATTATTATTAATATTAATATTTTTAGTATTATTATTAAAATTATTAATATTAATATTTTTAGTATTGTTATTTAAATTATTAATATTGGCAGTTTTAATATTATTATTTAAATTATTAATATTTTTAGTATTATTATTTAAATTATTAATATTTTTAATACTGTTATTTAAATTATTAATATTAATATTTTATATTAATATATTGTATTATTTAAATTATTAATATTTTCAATATTATTATTTAAATTAATATTTTATATTAATATATTGTATTATTTAAATTGTTAATATTAATATTTTCAATGTCATTATTAATATTAATATTTAATATTTTATATATTTATTTTATAATTATTAATATTAATATTTTCATTATTTTCAAATTGTTAATATTTCCAATATCACTATTTAAATGATTAATATCAATATTTTTGCCGGTTATCGGCTAATCAATTTTCTGGAATAAACTGCTACTAGAACGTATAATAGTATATATGTTATCGTAGAAACGACAAACTTCTTTTCCACTCGATGCCAGGGAATACAATTTCAATTAAATCTCAGAAACGAATCATAAAACGAAATAAACTATAAAGAGTGATTTTCTTTCGTGTTTCGTATTCCCGCAGAATTCCAAGCGATCGCACCTGGATCACAAAGCGTCGTTGTTGGATCTGTTTCGCACGCCGAACATGAGAATGAAGTCGCTGTCGATTTTCTTCAATTGGATCGTCTGCGGGATGGGCCTGTTCGGAATGTCTCAGTACATCGGCCAAGTCGGCGGGAACATCTTCGTGAATTTCACTGTTTCCGGAGCCATACAGATACCTGGTAACTTCGTCGCCTGGTGGGCGATGAACAAACTCGGTCGAAAGATCACGTTGATTTGCAGCAACTCGATCGCTGGCGTCGCTGCTCTTTTACTCGTCGTTGTCTCGGACGGTGAGTGGATTCGGCGGAGTTCCGATTTTTTCCAAGCAGTCGAGACAATTTTATTTGTTTTGCAGACATTGCGTCGCTTCGGTTGATTCTAGTCTGTACAGCCATCGTCGGCATGTCGGTCTCTTTCACTACTGTCTACTTGTTTTCCGGCGAACTGTTCCCCACGGTTGTCAGGAACATCGGCGTGGGTACCAGCAGCATGTGCGCCAGGATAGGCTCTATCTCGGCACCTTTCGTTGTCTCTTTGGTAAGTTACGGGCTATCAATGATTCTACTCGTGCTCGTGAAAAGCAAACGGCGACGATGATTGTCGTGAGAACAAGCGACAGAACACGCTGTAAAGCGTTTAAAAGAAATATTTGCACTCGCTCTGTACGTTCTCTGTCGAAGAAGCGCTTTTAGTTTTCGTAGAAGCTTTACGTATTTTTACACATAATTACGTTACTGTTTATTATACGTAGAATAATTTTGCATTTCTACGTATAATTATGTTACTGCCTTTACGTAGGATTCTGCATTTGTAATATCGAATTTTAACCATATAATTATGGTTACTTAATTTTCAGTGACATCATCTTTTTGTCACTTTTTTTACACAATTAAATTAACATCGCTGTTTAGTAATTTTGCTTCGATATATGATTTAATTAGAATTAAACTCCTTGGCATCGCGTAGGAAAGAAAGTAGTATTAAATCTTCCGCGATTTGGATTTTAGAAGCGACACCATTCTGTCGTTTCTATGATAACGTGTGCATATACTTATTACGTTCTGATAGCAGTTGATTCTAGAAAATTGAGTCGCTAATAGCCAGCAAAAATAGTGGTTGACGCAACTGCGAACAATCATTGAAAAACATTATTTAATTGTACATTATCGTACGTTATTTCCTCGTTTGTTGACCATGTGTCATTAATAAGCTTCTAATTGTTTGAAGGATCACATACAAACTTGGCTCCCACCGGCCTGTTTTGGAATCTTGCCGCTCATCGGTGCTGCGCTTTGCCTCTTTCTGCCAGAAACTGTCGGATGTACACTCCCAGAAACGCTCGAGGACGGTGAAAACTTTGGAAAGTTAGTGTAATTTTCATCGTCACGCGAGATTTAATTTAATTATATTTAATTATGTTATATTTATTATTAATTATATTATAATTAATTATAATATATTTATTATTAATATATTTATTATTATATTTATTATTAATTATATTATATTTATTAATTAATTATAATTAATTATATTATATTTATTATTAATTATATTATAATTAATTATAGTATATTTATTATTATAATATACTATAGTTAATTATAATTAATTATATTATAATTATATTATAATTATATTATATTATATGTTTGATTATATTTAATTACATTTATTAGTATATAATAATTATAATATATTTATTTGTATTTCTATTGTGACAGCTACTGCGTTTATTTATCACCATTGTTTTTACAATCTTGATTCATTCTTCCTGATTTGTTACAGAAAACTCCATAAAATAAAGAAGAATCCAAAAGATATCGAAGCAGAGGCAGCACTTTGAACGAAGACTGAGATTAATTAATACCTAGAGATTTTATATATATATATATATAAAGATTATATATATAAGGAGGAAAACAGTTAGGACAAAATTGCGAGGAGAAAGTAATAAAATTGAGAACACGGATTTTCATAGAAAAATTAATTGTACATATATTAATTAATACTGAGATCATTCCTTCTTTTTTTTAATTTATTATATTATTCACATCCACGATTTTGACGACATCGTTGTTTCTCTTCACGTCGCATTGAAGCACGTCGATTTCACATTCTGTGACGAATGTTTCTCTATACACTAATAGTTGATAAATTTAACGTGCATGTGTATTGGTTTTTAGAGGGACGAAATTCCTGAACAAAAATATCCCGGAATATTTCAAGGCGTTTTAAAACATGCTTTCGACTTTGTAAATTTGACAAATATTATTTATATGAATTATATTTATACGAATGTGTAACAATTTGCGAGAAGAGTGCCTTCTACCATTTGTATGTGAATATCTAAATAGATCTTATATTTTATAAAGCTAGTTCATTCTTCCCCAAGTTCCCTTTTCTTCAGCTGTAGGATATAATTTTATATAATGGTTATAGTAGCGTAATTAATTTAATGACAGTGAATATTAAATAGATTCATACAACTATACACATATACAAGTGTACATAATTTTCTTTTCGTTTCTACAAAATATTTTTCATCTTCTGAAATTTGAAACTTTTTACACTAGAATTACCGACTAAAGTGTAAAATTTTATCAGAGATAAAATGAAAAAAGAACAAAAAAACTTTATAATACAATGGAGTATATTTATACATGATACTTCACGAAAAATCATTTAAATCTCTAAAGACACATTGCTTTACGTTTACAAAATTTTTAACAAAAATGATAAATTAGTCACTTTGATCACTTTGGTAGTTTTAGTGTTAATATTAAATGATGCCTTCCTTTACCTTTTGATATAAATGGAATAACAATTGCATTAATAACAAATCAATGCAGTTAACAATAAATTCATATTTCTGAGATTTCTCTTCATATCTTTTATTTCATAATTTGGATTTTTAAATATCGACAAAAACTTTTGCTTGTATTTCATGCAAAAGCTTGGTACATGATCCTTAATATCCGTGATTATTTTTACTGCCTTAATATTCAAGGACAAGGCCGTTTTTTTTTTCATTCTATAAGAGTATTCATTTTTTTGTTCATTTCATGGTTACGACCGAGGATAAACGCAGACATGCAAGATTTATTCTACTTGTTTTAACAACCGAGTCAAAGTAAGAATCAATCAATCAATCCCTCAAGGAAATTCTCTTATGACGATTTTCAATTTACGATTTAATTTTTAGGACCAAGACTACCGAAGATCGAAGCATAAAATTTCTGTGTCAGAGACATTAAAGTAAAAAAAAAAAAAAAAAAAGAAAACTTTATAATATAATACATATATAATAGAACACAGAAGAATTTACGAAAAATTACTTATAATCTCTAAAGATAGACGACTTTTACATTTACAAAGTTTCAAAGAAAAATTATTAATTAGTCATTTCGATCACTAATGTTAAATGATAATATACCGTATTTAAAAAATACTATTTATACAAGGCCCTATTTACGATACTAACGTATGAAAAGTGTGTTTGATAGAAGTCAAGCGATTCATTAAAAATCGTGTGGAAAGGTTAGTGACAAATTCGTAATACGAACGTCGGTACAAAAGAAGTGCCATTTCCAGTGTGTCCATTTAGGAAGACTTCCATGTACATATATAAAGTACCATGGCACAATGAACTATCGCGTCATTCTGTCTTGGATCGCTTCAGCAGAAGGCCGGTTTCGTCTTCGAATACGAATAACGGATTATTCGGAATCTGGACACGACATTCGCGTTTTAAGCAGCCGCAGTTCTTCACTTCTCCTCGATCGTTTCGGTTCAGCTTTTACGATCGAACGTTCGACGTACGAATTAAAACAGAGGTAAGAGAACGTGATTTCAATTTCACTATCGTTCACTATCGCACAGTGCCTTGCATTCAAATCGACTCGTTTTTAATTATCTCAATTAAATTGAAATTTATTTGATAGAAGTTCGACGAGAGAGGTCTGATTATTTCTGTCGTTTCGCAATTTCTGCATTTATTTCAACAGAGAGATCGTATCATAAGGATTATTTTCTTCTTTATTTTTGCGATCGATGTGTTTTTACATTTACCATGAGTGTTTTTTACTGTGATATTTAAAGAAAAAAGGCATTATGATTATATTTTATGATACATGTGCAACATTAAATTTACATTCTAGTAGCGTACGTTTCATTTTATGATTTATAGAGTACAGATATGTAGAAATTGAATGGCTAATAAAAATTTAATAGTTGGCGCTTTGTGCTTAGAGGTATAGTGGAAAAGATGATTTAAATCTCTCTGCCTGGTATCGTCTATTACGTCCGTCGTCTATAGAAAAGACATGATAGAATAATTGCCGATTATTTCGTTGTATTTTCTTGCCTATTGTATTGTCATTGCAATATAAAACTTGAATTGAAGAACCGAGTTCCGCCGCAATAATTTTTGAAATAATACAGAAAAATAATAAAAAGAAAAAAAAAAAGAAATAATAGAAATAATAGGAAATAAGATAAAAATGATGAGAGAAAATAAAAATTAAATGGAAAAAGACGAAAATTGACACTGAGTGAAGAAAAGTTGTTTTCGACTCGCAGCTTACATTTCAGTGCATAAAATAAAAGTCAAGGCCGAAAGAAACAAAAGGAAATAAACAGTCAATGATAAAATATTGAAATCAGTTTGGAAAAACTCGACGCCGTCTGAGCTATTCTCACATTTATATTTTATACCGTAGCGCTGTTCATAAGCATCAATAATAATAATAAAACGCCGTTTAATTTAATACGAAACGACAAATTTAATAATAATAATAATTTGTCGTTTCGTAGATATGCGGATTCTTTTGTTGTTCGCGTCCCTTGCATTGGCTAATTGCCACGAAGTGAAGACAGTTTATTCGTGGAGCAATGTCGAGTACAATTTCCCAGTCACTGTCAATCCAGACACCCTAACGTCCGATGGTGAATACATTCCGGAAAATAACGTGCCACTTGGCATGGAAGTTTGGGAGGACAAAATCTTTATTACCGTGCCACGATGGAAGAACGGTGTCGCGTCGAATCTAAACTACATTTCGAAGAACGACACGTCAGGTATTACCTTGTTGTTAGATTTCATTTTGATTCCCACGAATTAATTACATGCATATGTGCGTAAATTTTTTTAATTATAATAGCAAAAATAACAGCAATTACATGCAGACGTATATAAATTATTTAATAATAATAGCAAAAGTAATTACAGGGTATTTCGTAACTTGTGGAACCCACTTCGGGAGTTGATTGTACGCCTAAAAATAATGAAAAAAACGTCATATAAATATATGTCCTAGCTGTCTTCGTTTATGAGATATAATGAATTTTCTGTTTTAATTACTTTTACAAAAGATGCTCGAAATGACCAGCTTGCATTTGAAGACAAGCCTGCACGCGTTAACTCTATCTATCATTCCTGGTGTTTCTCGAATTTGTCGGAAGCCTTGCTCTATTCTATTTCGTAGTATTTCAGCATGTTCAATCGATGTTGCGTATACAATAGATTTTAAATGTCCCTACAAATGAAAATCTAATGGATCCAAATCCGGAGAACGAGCAGGCCATGCAATAGGACCTCCACGACCAATCCATTTATTTGCAAAGTGCTGCTTTAAAAATTGCCTAGCCACTCGGCTAAAACGCGGCGGAGCTTCATCATGCATAAACCGCATACGAAGTCTAATATCGACTGGAACTTACCTCTAATATTTCGTGTAAACGCGTGCTCAAAAAATTAACGTACTTTGTGCCTGTTAGTTTCCCATCAAGAAAAAAAAGGTCCAATTAAAAATTTATCAATTATTCCTGCCCATACGTNATTATTATGAAAATTGAATATACCATCCCTGGTAAAACTAGCTTACTACAGTTTGCTCTGTTTATAAAATTCATTATATCTTATAAACGAAGACAGATAGGATATATATTTACATGACGTTTTTTCATTATTTTTAGGCGTACAATCAGCTCCCGAAATGGGTCCCACAAGTTACGAAACACCCTGTATATGTACATAAATTATTTAATAATAATAGCAAAAATAACAGTAATTACATGCATTTTCTACCATTGATATGCTCTCTCACGTTTGCTCTCCAGTAGAATCTCCGAAATTAACTCCGTATCCAAGTTGGGAGATAAATTACATAAACACGCCTAACGGCATCGTAAGCATCTTTCGCGTGAAAGTCGACTCCTGCGATCGATTGTGGGGCGTCGACACGGGTATCGATGATATTCTAGGGACAACCAGGCAAGTACGACCGGTGAGGATTTTCGTCATCGACTTGAAAACGGACAAGGTAGCGTAGTAAATTTACTTCACTTTTATTTATTTAATTATAATTGAGCGTTACATCCACAATTTATTAATTAAGGGTTATTAGTGACCATGGTAGGTTAAGGCAGCTATAACGATTGGTATAATCCTACATCTTTCAGAAATTCTAAAACTTTTTTTCTTAAAAAGAGATCTTCTTTTTGCCACATTTTGAGTGAATTTCGTAAAATTGTGTCGTCATTAATTAATTATTTTTTATTGTAATAATGTAAATTATAAATGAAAAAATATAATAGTTAAAACATAAAATAGTAAGTAATTTATTGAAATTTGTAAATGAATATTCAATTATTTGTATTCCCAGTCATGTTAATATAATCAAAATATTAATTCAATATAAAAATTGAGTAAACTGATAAAATTTTAACTTCTACTATTTAATAAAGGTAATAAAATAAAATAAAAATCGATATAAATGATATAATTACTCCTCCTAGTTTATTTGAAATTGATTGTAAAATAGACTAGACGAATAGAATTATATTTCATCTTCGTATTTGAAACTGTTAATATATGCTCAATGGAATTTGGTAGATTGCATGTGTTACAGATATTTGGTTCTGTGCTTAGATAGGAATGTGTCCAGTTTGTGTAGCCTGTTCCTATTCTTGTTACTAATTTTCTTTGCTTCGGTTTGTTCAACTATATGTGTAAAATATTGACGACAACGTTACAGATATTGAGGATCTATCCTCTGAAAAGTACAGACCAAGTGTCTAATTCTTTCTTCGCCGACTCGGTAGTTGACGCGGATCCGGACAACTGCGAGAACTCGCATCTCTATATTTCGGATTTGAGTGGATACGGCTTGGTTGTTTACAGTTGGGCCAAGAACGATTCCTGGCGGATCTCGCACAACTTCTTCCACTTCGATCCCCTTCACGGTGAGACATTTCGTTCAACGTGTAACAAAAATTCTAACTTCTCGTTTCAATTTCCAAGTTCTCATTTGAAAATGTATGCTGGTGGATCAATAAATAAGTATATACAGCGTACATATAAATATATATTATATATATATATATATATATTATTAAATATAATATTATATATTAAATTAATTATTTATTAAATATACTATTATATATATAATATTACTAAATATATATACTATTATATTATATATATAATATATATAAAGTGCACATATACAGTGGATCAAGTTTTGTGCATATACTATATTTAAGGGATTAAAAAAAGTATTGGCATACCTATTTTTCTTGCATTTATTGTTTTTGTGAAAACAAATGATACATGCACGATAGTAACGTCCAAAGACGAGTTATATAAAGGAGCAATATAAAAATTCGAAAATCGAAACATATGAGGGATTTTTCTTTATAGATTCACCATTATACTTGAACAGAATATAAAACACCTTTAATTATTTGAAGCCCAACATTCTTTCCTAACGACAAGCAATGTTATTCGAATAATAACATTCTTATAAAGATATTTTGTAATTTTTCTAACAATTTCCTGCCGATTAAATGTAAATTAACCATTGGAATTACAAGTTTGTCAATACTATTTTGACTCTCGAACTTGTATATTTTTTGCATGTAGTAATTCCTCTGATGTATCATTCGTTTTCATAAATACATCGCCATAAAATACTAGGCTTGCCAATACTTCCTTGACTCACTCTATGGCTTATTATTAAAATTTCACAGAAATTCATCTTCCTTGACTCTCTCTATAGCTTATTATTAAACTTTCATGGAAACTCATCTTCCTTGACTCTTTTTACAGTTTATTATTAAAATTTTATGGAAATTAATCTTCCCTGACTCGCTCTATAGCTTATTATTAAAATTATTATCATTATTAAAATTTCATGGAAATTCATCTTCTTTGACTCGTTCTATAGTTTATTATTAAAATTTCATGGAAACTCATCTTCCTTGACTCGCTCTATAACTTATTGTTAAAATTTTATGGAAACTCATCTTCCTTGATTCGCTCTATAACTTATTATTAAAATTTTATGGAAATTCATCTTCTTTGACTCGTTCTATAGTTTATTATTAAAATTTCATGGAAACTTATCTTCCTTGACTCGCTCTATAGCTTATTATTAAAATTTTATGGAAACTCATCTTCCTTGACTCGCTCTATAACTTATTATTAAAATTTTATGGAAATTCATCTTCCTTGACTCGCTCTATAGCTTATTGTTAAAATTTTATGGAAACTCATCTTCCTTGACTCGCTCTATAACTTATTATTAAAATTTTATGGAAATTCATCTTCTTTGACTCGTTCTATAGTTTATTATTAAAATTTTATGGAAACTCATCTTCCTTGACTCGCTCTATAGCTTATTGTTAAAATTTCATAGAAACTCATCTTCCTTGACTCTCTCTATAACTTATTATTAAAATTTCATGGAAACTCATCTTCCTTGACCCGCTCTGTAGCTTGTTATTGAAATTATTATCATTATTAAAATTTCATGGAAATTCATCTGGCCACTAGGAAACTTCAACATCAGCGGATTCAACTTCCAATGGCAGGATGGCATATTCGGAATGTCTCTGTCCGCGCCGCAAAGCGACGGTTACAAGACGTTGTATTTCCACGCGATGGCCGGCGTCACTGAATTTTCAGTGTCCACCGAAGTTTTGCAGGACAGCACGTTGAAGAAGTCGAGCAGTTACGACGCGTTTCGCGTCGAGGGTGATAAGGGCCCGCTCACTCAGGGGCCAACCTCCGTGATCGACGCCGGCACTGGTATCAATTACTTCACTCAAGTGAGCAAAAATGGCATCGCCTGTTGGGATACCAGCCTCGAACTGAACCCGAATACCTTCAGTGAGTAGCTGAGATGATAACACCTTTCAACAAGCAATATCAAAATAACAATTCCCTTCCGTACTTCCATATTTTCTTTAATTCTCGACGAAAACTAAGATGGAGCCACAAAATTTTGAAGATTCAGCTAAATGATCCTAGGCACAGTTTTCTGAGAAATAGCTGCTATTACAAGAGGATGGTCATTTATTGCTCGATAATAACTAAAAAAAAAAAAACAATGATCGTCTGGAAATAATTATGATACCAAGAATGAACTATCATCAACGACTGCGTTCCATTGTGTTCACTGACAATGAGATTTTCCTTAAGAGAAACGAGGAAAATCTCAATATTTCATATTGCGCCGATTAATTCTTACGCAACGAAATTCTGCGAAGCAATTCTTGCTCATATTTTATATTATAAAAAAGACAATGCGCGATGCAGCGATATCCACGATAAATCATTTCGGTTTCTCTTGCAGTTCTTGCGGCCCAGGACAACACGACGATGATTTTCCCCAACGATCTGTCCATCGATCGGCCCACCAATACGCTATACGTGCTCTCCGACAACTTGCCGCAACATATATTCTCTCACATGGACACGAAGAAGCATAATTTCTTCGTCACGGCGGTCAATCTCGATTCCCTGACGCAGACATGCAAGAAACAAGATCTTAAGCTTAAAAGACGGCTTCCACACATTCTGTAATCAACTCACGCGAATCTGTGAAAATCGCATCTAGCTTCATTCGAAATTTTCAACGAGAGTTTTGTCCTTTTGTAGTTATACGTTTGTGAAAATATAAATTTGCACAACAGACTATAGTCTCAACTGGCTTTCATCTGGCATTTCTCTGACTCTATCTTTATTTATTCACAGAAGTTATACAAAAGAATATCCAGAACAGATTACACGATATTATGCGAAGAGCGCATCGAATGCAACATGCTATGTTCGTTAATTATCGTTAATTTCAATCAACTGTGTTACAGTACGTTTCTTCTATCCCTACACCGAGCTCAGTCATTTGTCTCAAAATCCTTTCTCACTTAGGCTACACGTTGTATTTACAAGTAATTTTCACTGAAGTATTTTATAAGTACACTTTAAGAGGTTTCGATTATACATTTTCGGACGGATCGTTTGAAGTAACTATAGAATATGAAACACGTGAACTGTTAACTTTTCCGAGATTGTAAAATGATTTCAGAGCATGGAGTTATTTGGTTCAATGAAACACGTATGATAGTAAAGAAAGAAGAAAAAAAAAAAAAAAAAATAGAAGACGCTCGTTATAATTAAGATAATTTTGGATAAGTTCATTTCGTAATTGTCACTTTGACAATTTTGAACATTTCTAATATTATCTTTCTATTCTTTCCGGTGACAATTGATTTTATTTCTAATTTTAAATGGAAATCGTTCATCCTACGCGTCGTGATTTTTGATGAAATTGGAATTGTTTCAAGCAGTATAGGTTGAAGTACTCGTGAGGGCACGAGTTCTTGTTTCTATGATTAATGGAAAAAGAACGTTATCTCTGATTGAAAATAAAATCACTTTTTGGTATCACTTCTCTTGGTCCCAATTTCACGTTCGTCATGCATTCGCTGTAAAAAATGTAATGAAATATGTTACATCCCCGAAGACATCTTGATCATAGGATTGTGCACGTTTTCGACTGAAAATGAAAAGAATCGACATTAGGAAATACAAGTAACAGACATGGAAGGCGTGTACTGTCGAAAATGGCTGAACCTACTTTAGATTTTTGATTCGCAGTGCCAGATGTCTTGGTACCATTCTCCATTGCCTGTGGCTTTTTACTTTTAAATATTTTCGATATTCTACCTTCAAAATAAAATTTGGTAACATGAGTCAATTAAATATTAACGGATCGTTAGAAATTTCGTAGTTGAAATCTCTAGATTTAATTATATAGTATGAAGAATTATTCTTCACTGTAAGAAAGTTTGACCCTTTGCCCTCGACAAACGTTTCTCTGTGTCATCCACCAGTAATTTATTTACGAAGCATCGCTCCACTATTTTTTAAACTTTTGCAAGAAGCAGTAAGAAGTCTAGTTTATGTCAATTATTCCAAATTATGTGAATTATTGATTGTCAATTGTCTTAGGACTGCCTTCAGAAATTTCTTTCTTCTGACTATTCTTTTGCTCTTCTTATGTTGTTATTATAGCTTTCACTTTAGGTGTCTGTTCAGATACTTTGTATATTATATTATTATCTTTTATTTCTATACTATTATCTATGTTTTATTATACTATCTTTTTGTAGTGTATTATATTATACTATACTATTTTTTGTAGTATATTATATTATACAGATATATTATACTATTATCTATTATTTTTATATATAATAATACATAAATAATAGTATATTATCTTTTTGTATTATATTATATTATATAGATAGTATAGTATATTATACTATTATCTATGTATAATAGTTATTAATATAATAGTATATTATCTTTTTGTAGTATATTATGTTATACTATTATCTATTATTTTTATGTATAATAATACATAAATAATAGTATATTATCTTTTTGTATTATACTATATTATATAGATAGTATAATATATTATACTATTATCTATTATTTTCATGTATAATAATACATAAATAATAGTATATTATCTTTTTGTAGTATATTATATTATATAGATGGTATAGTATATTATACTATTATCTTTATATTATTATACATCGTATCGTACAATATCAAATGCACACGTTCGTTATAATCATCAAGCAAATTATAAAAAGAGAAAGTCCAAGCTGTTGGCTAGATTTAAATACAACCGCCTCTCCGAAGAAACAGCCGAGCGCAAAGGGTTAAATTCACATAGTTTTTAATTACGTCGTCCTGCTTACCAGTTCTCGGTGCCGGTGACTGCACAACGTCAGCGTCATCCTGCGCGTTGTCACTGTTCACCTTCTCCTCATCGGTCTCCACTCTGTCTTTGTCGTTCTGCTTGTCGATTTCTATCGCCTCCTCCTCAGCCACTCTCGACCTCGCCGATTTAGTACTTCCGCTTTTCGTCGCGGATTTCATCGACCCTGACTCCTTCTTTCTCCCGGACTCCTCGTCCTCATCAGTTGCCTCCGACTTCTTCACCGAAATATCCTCCGTCTTCTCTTCGTTCTCCATCCTCCTTTTCTCATCCACGTCAGCTTCTTTCTCCATCGACGACGCCCTCTCGATGGAAGAGCTCTCACTTCCGGATTTCAGTCTCGGCGGTTTTGGCGGCGGCGTCGAATCCGAAGGGGGCGTTCCATTCTTCGGGCTCGTTTCTCGTTCAGCATCGCCGCCGTTGTCCGATCCCTGCGTCGATTCTTTCACATCTTTGTTGCTGTCTGCTTCGTCTTTGTTCTCCGAGATATCGTCGCCACCCTTGTTTGTCTCTTCGTTGTTTCCCGCGGAATTTGCCTCTGCGCTCGTCTCGTCCTTGTTTCCTTCGTTATCCTTCTCGTCGTTCGTCGACTCGGACTTCTCTTCCTCTCGAACCTTCGTTGACGACGCCTCCTCCTCTATTTTCCGCTCCCAATTTCCATCCTGTTTCACCGATTCCTCGGGCTCGTTCGCGCCAGCCGGCGCCGTTTCGTCGGTTTCCTGTTCGTTCGATGATTCTTCCTCTAGCTCAGGACTGTTCTTGGGATCGTCTGATTTCTCGATGTCATTCGTGGAATCCGCGACGACACTCCTGTCTCTGTTGTTCTCCTCGATTTTCCTCTCCAGAGACGTTTCCATAGTTTCCTGCGCACTTGTCACAGACTCGGCGCTGTTTTTCCTTCTCGTTGTTTCGCCAACGTGTTCGTCGCGAACATCGCTCTGTCGCCTGCTCAACTTCAACGGCGGCAGCGGATTTCTTTTTTGAATGTGCTCCTGGTAAAGGATTCTTCGATAATTACAATCGCCTAACAAACTTCAATCCTACAATTGTTGTTACGTACAATCATTATACAGGGTGTACGCGATTTAAGAATATGAGAGCATGTAGCCCACCAAATGCTGAAAAAATTTTGTTTGAAACATTTTTTTAATTGCGCTACCGGAAATGCCTGAAAACTGGTGACGAAACTTAACGCGTACACCCTCTATTGTGTATTATCGTGCATAACTATCATTCGTATTTCACTTCGTGCGTAAATTAATTGTATAAAATTAACGAGAATGATCGTCGATTTACGAAATTTCTAATTACCACTTGCGAGTTCTCCTCTCTCTGCGAACGATTGTTCGTTTCGCGTCTTTGGCCAACCAAGATTGTGTGACAGCCACCGCACGCGACCTTCGAAAGTTGAAGAAGAATGATCACAAGTGATTTGCAAAAGATTGCTACTAAAAATAGGTAATAACGTAAAATTACATTGGAAACGAAGAGCTCCTTGTATCTCTGAACGAAAGTCAGTTCATGGACGTTGTTCTCGTTCTCCTCCAGCCCTAATTTCCCGTGTCTTCCGTCGCCGCACGTGTAAAGTTTACCGGACTCTGTTTTTCACAATGAGACTAACGTTAAAGAAATAGGGGAGGGGGGCAGCTCGCTTTTGGAACTCTACAGAATTGGAAAATTGCGCCGAGAATCGGTAGATTCGCGTTGAAATTTACCAGTGACAACAGCGGTGTGACTTTCGCCGCAAGAGACTCGCGCGATCCTCTCGTTTCGAAGAGCGCCACGTGGAAGAAGTTTCGGCGTATGGAGATCGGTCAGATTTGTTCCTAGACCAAGCTGACCGGTCGAGTTGCTGCCGGTACAATACAGGCTGCCATTTTCTGAAAATGTAACAGCGAACGTTAGGTAATTCTGGCAAATGTCGAGAAGTACTGCGATTTTTATTTAAGGGGACCGGACAGTGTGAAATTTTTAAAAAATCGATGTTTCTGTTTTGTTTCGAATGGTAGTTTGAAATCTTGGAAATAAGATACAAAAGGTCTTAGCCTTTGAAACAGCGAACGTTAG